TGAACTGTCAAGATTTGAATCAGGAGCCTCCTCTTCTCACAGGCAGGGCTTCTGGAGGGTGGCTGAATTGAGTGGGTGATGCATTGTAGCTGAGATGTTGTTAGGAGGTGGGGTGTCTTCAGAAGAGGCAGGTTTCTGGGGTGTGACCTGGAAGGGTCTACCTCCCTCTCCAGCTCTGCTCTGCTCTCTGCTTTCTGACCACCCGGACATAAGCAGCTTCCTCTTCCATGCCGCTACGCCAGGCCCTTTCTGTCTTGGAGCCAGCAGACCACAAATGGGAGACTTCAGGAAGAATAAACCTCTCTTTCTTTGAGTTGCAGGTGTCAGACATTTTGTGTCAGTGATGAGGAAAGTGACCAAGACGTGAACCAATTGTTTACATATTTTTTGTTTTAAAAATATCTAAAAAGTCCCAAGCTTTTGTACCTAAGGATGTGGCTGACTGTATTTGGAGATAGGACTCCAAAGAAGTGATTAGGAAAATGATGTCAAGTGGGTGGGGCTTCACATTCAGTATGACCAGTGTCTTGTGCGAAGAGGAGATTAGGACACAAACATATGTAGAGCAAAGATCACATGAAGACACCGGGGAGTCATCAGAAAGCTGTCACAAGAGAGGCCCAGGGAAACCAACCTGGTGATGAGGTCACTGGCAACTTGACCTAGAACTGAGGAAATTTCTGCTGTTTATACCACCTGTGGCCACAACTCCAGCAAATTAATGTAACATTTCAAGTTTTTGTTTGTTTTTATTATTATCCCTAGGGAACATTGTATATTACGGTTACATAATATCATTTCTGTATAGTTCCAGAAACTGTCACGTCAGATGTGAAATGAATTTTGTTCGGAGGTTTCTGTTCTTTGATGTTTCTATCCCTTGTTAGTAGTTGGGATATAGTATTTCTGTCTTGACATGCTCTATCCTTTACCATAGATTTACTATCTTCATCTAATTAAGAATTTTATTGGCATGAAGTACATTATATTAATTTCTAATTAGCTTGGTTGGGTTGATTCTTTTAATATATCATATTAATAACATAACAACTGTAAAATATATGTATGTATTATATATGTATATATTCAGATTTATCCAGAATTTAAGTTTTTATGTAAGAGACAGGTATAATGGTCTTTGAGGTTTCCATAATATCTTAAATAATAACCTACTGGCCTAGGTTTATTACTGATTCTAAAGGTTTCTGATGTAAAACTGATGTATAAAATAGGCTCACTTACATGATTCAACTTTTCTTTGTTTTTTTTGGAGAACATTTATATAATCCTACAACATAAGTATTCACAGTTATTATTTCCACAAGCAAGCAATTTTTCCCTTCATTAATGAACTGCCTTTTGGTGTACAGATTTTGTCATATTTCTTAAAGTTCTTTTGGTTGGTAAAGCTACCTTGAAATAACAAACTCATCAATCACAGATTTCCTGAACTTTCATAATATAACTTAGCTTTTAAATTTATAAATCCTCTTGCTGAGCAGATCAAGCTGTACACTGTTTGAATAATGTATTCGTGATAAAGGACAGAGAGGATTCTTATGAAGAACATGACTGGCAAGTCCTTGACCAGATCAGGATGATTTCAAATTGAAATTTGAGAGGAGAGAGAAACACCATGGAAAAACTATAAAACTAAATAGCATGAAAGGCAGTGGTTATGAAAGGAGGGTCAAAAACAGCACTGCTGCTTCAGAGATCTGTCTTCTAATTACAGAGACTGATGTGAAAGCCCAAAATTTTAATAACAGGCAAATACCTTTCTAACTATATAAATTTATATGAACTTAGTATGTTCTGAAATATCCCTGCAACCTGATGAGAGAGTAATCAAGTCTGCAGTGCTATAGTGGGAGAATACATATATTTGATTGAGTTGTCTCTAGTTGAATACAAGGTGACCATAGCCTTACATCAAAGGGAGATGTATCCAAAGGAAGTCTTTAAACTAATGATGAAAAACGTTGGGCTTTGGGGTGATGATAAAAAAGAAGAGAAGTGGAAGTTCCATTCATGCAGATTTTACCATGTGTCCCAGTAGGAAGAGGAAAGGAAACAGGTTAGTTTCTTCAAGAAGAGACTGTGTCATTCTCACTTTTGTATGCGCCATGCAGTCTTGTACAGTTCCTGTCACACGATGATTGCTCACAGATTGTTGAGCACTTTGAGTTGACAAAGAAGTGATAGAGTTGTGACAGGTATAATAATCACATCAGGGAAACAGGCTTTTAAAACACAGAGAGAAATGGGTTTGATTCTATGCCCACAGTGCGGACCACAAGACCCTAAAATATCATTCAGACAGTACAATAATAAATTATCTCCATGGAGAAGGAGAATTGGATGACCAGTTACGTAAATGTGCCCTTCTAGTAGTAAATCAGCAGACAAGTTCACATTACAAAGATCTGTGCGCAACTGAAAGGATGGCCTGGATTTTGGGAGACGGGATGGCAGTGGTTGTGAGCATGAGCAACAGAGTTAGACATCCTAAGTTTGAGTCCTGGATCTATCATGTATTAGTTGTGTGACCTTGGAAAGCACACAGCCTCTTTCCCTTAATTTCTGTTTCTGTGAGATGGGGCTATGAGCACCTGCTTCATTGGCTTGTCAAGAGATTCAAATGAGTTTCATGTGCATAAAATGCTTGGGTCAGGGCCTTGCACATGGCATGCTGTGCTGCATGATATTTGTTGTTATATTGTTGCATAATTTAATTAGAAAAAAGGGGACTAAGCATTGGGGAGAAAAGAGGAGATAGTAGTAAATGGTACAGCTGAAAGCAAGACATTTTTCTGTAGTGCACCCATAAGAATAAAAAGGAGATGAAAGCATGTTCTGGTTCCACCTTGAAATCATGGTTTCTCTATCAATTAGGAGAGAAGAGACTGGGAGCTCTGTAAACAGAAGGCTGATAGAGTGAGGCCAGAGCATTTGATATATTCTGGGATGAGGACATCTTGAAAGAACCCAAAGATGTTGTCTTAGTTACTTTTCTCATTGCTGAGGTGAAATACCCAACACCCAAAGTTTGAAAAGGAAAGGTTATTTAGCTCATAGTTTGCAGAGGTTTCAGTCTATAGTTAGCTAGCTTCAAGGCAGGGGTCATGGCAGAGGGACACTGCAGAGGAGAAACAGTTCATGGCAGGCAGAGGGCAGCAAAGCAGAAGGCAGCATGCAATGAAGTAGTGAAGCAGCGACAACAGCAGCCCTCATTCTGTCCCTTGTATTCTATCCAAGCTACCCGACTTTTGGGCAGGTAGCACTCCAACCCAGGGCGGGGCACTGCACCCCTAATCCTAGCATCTCACCATGAACAAATCCCAGCATCACATCCTTAACCCCAGCATCACACACCCTAAATCCAGCCATCTCTGAAAAGCCCCACCTATGACTGCATGAGGTTTTGAGGGGACATCTAGACCATCTAGACACAAGCCATAACAGATATGTCAACCTTTATGTAGAAAAAGGAATCTATTTCCCAGGGGGAGGAACCTCTGATATTCCTATCTTGAAGTTTAAGGCCAGAGGATGCGCTGAAAATTCAAAACTAAGGTTGCACCTTGTGAGGCAGATAATAGAAGAGGCGGATGGAAAGTGTGGCACATAGGCATTTTCAGGAATAGTTCTGAAGATCCAAAAGAACTTGGAATGAACTGAAGCTTATAATAAATGTCAAAGACTACAATGACGTTTTGAAATGCTTGCTCAGAATAAAAACTAGTAGACCACAGTTCCAACCTCTGAGTACTGCAGATTTGTTGCAGAACTCTTCTACTTCCTTAGTTGGGTTGATCTGTAAGTATTTAATTTTTTTGTGTGCTATTAATGAATGGCATTTTTTCTTGATTTCTTTCTTAGTGGGTTCATTATTAGCCACACAAATACTATTGTGTAGTAGTTTTGTATGTACATTACTGAATTTGGTTATTAATTCTAAGAGTCTTTTGATGGAGTTTTGGGGTCTTTTATGTATAGAAGCTTGTCATCTGTAAATAATGAGAACTTGACTTCCTCCTTTCCTATACATTTCCCTTTTATTTCTTTTTTCTTGCCTACTTGCTCTTGCTAAAATTTCGAGTACTATATTGAACAAGAGTCTTGATAGTGGACATCTTTGTCTTGTTCTTGATTTTCAAGGCAAAGATTTTAGTTTTACCCCCATTTAATATGATGTTGGTAATAGGCTTGTCATAAATGGCTTCTATCAGATTGAGATGAGGTCCTTCTATATTTATTTTAATCTTGTTTTTTTATCATGAAAGGAGGTATTTGGTCAAAGGCTTTCTCTGCATCTACTGAGATGGTCACATGGTTTTTGTCCTTGCTTCTATTTACTGGTTTGTGTATGTTGAATCATCCTTGTATTTCTGGGAGGTGTTAAGCTTTTAATAAAATGAGTTTATTCAAATATGGTTCTTTGGCATATTATGGTTTAGTCTTAAGTTATATTCCATGGACACCATCTTTACTGATAGTAACCAATGCTTTAAAATATCCTACACATTTTTATTATGTGGCACACTGATTTGAGTACAGAGCAAGTGTAATTACTTTATCACATTTGTGATAAAGAGTGTGGCCTCTGTTCCAACTTTGCAGCAGACCTGAATGGCTGGAACTGCCCGCTGCCTGTACTCCTTTGACAGATATTCCTTAAGGGAGAGTTTGTGCACACCCACGGCTGCGGCAAAACCCATGCGGTGTTTCTTTTTGACGCTGAGGAGCGTGCACATGTACTTGGAGGCATAATTTGACATAATTGGTACTGGTTGCTGTTTGTTTCACTTTATCTTTATTGTTTTAAGTCTTTCTGATTCCATTTGGTTTTTTTTCCCCTCTATACATCAGGTGTATGATATGAATAGTTCTACTTACGTAAAATTTTGCCTATTGACTTTTATTAGGATGTAATGGTAAAAATGCTCTGTAAAAGCATGGGGCTTTAAAAACTCAATTTTTTCATGTTACTGTTCTAGTCTGGCGGCAAGAAGAACTTACACGCATTAACCAATGTCTTACTGGAGCTGAAAGGAAAGCTGCTTTATGCGAGCTTCTGGAAAAAGAAACCCAGATAATTGCTTCCATTGGGAGACATAGATACATTGCTTGTACGGAGAACCAGGAAGAAGTAATACAAGCTTTTATGGATAAGGTTAGTGAAATAACTACTATTTAAAATATGAACGTAGCCTCAGTTTAACAATGTGGAATAAAGATCCAAAGGAGGCACAGTGTAAAAATTTACACGAATTTTGTTTAGCATTTTGATAACATTTCCTTACATTCTACATGTTTATTCTTTTGGTATAGCTGTAGATTTTAACTACAGCCAAGAGTAAAGATTTGATAGTAACATGAAGTTCATTTCTTCTTAAGTAAAGGCATTTGGCCATAAAAGTAAAGATGGAGACACTTTCCTTGTGACTTATGAGCTGCACACTTGGATAAAATGCAGAGTATTAAAGTCACGAAAGGTCAGGGGCTGGTTGCTGTAACAGTGAGCAACCTGCGGAAAACGGTGAGAGCCCGGTGTTTCCGCTTTCACTTGCTGCACCATTAACTGATTGGAGATTTTTAGCCAAAAACATGTATGATTATCAAAGACCGTGAAAACATACAATTAAAGGAAAAACTGAAGTAATTACCCTTTTGTGGTCAAAACTGCCTGTTTGCTATTGAGTAGCCTGTTTCCATAGTAACAAATTTCCTTTTATAAACCTGATCTTTCCAAACAATTAAAGGCCAATCCAGCCTGAAGAAAAGGATGCAGTTCCCAAAGACATCAGACTGTAGCGATTCTAGTTCTGTGCATCTTACTCTTTCAGGGCATTTGTTATCACAAATCACTTTTTGATACCTTAGATACCCTTCTCTCATCTTGCTTATATACTCTGCTGTTTGCAGTTATCTTTGCCTTTAACTGCGGTGCAAGTTCCATATCCGTTCCTCAGAAGCTCCCCAGTGATATACACAATTTCCTACTGTGATTGTTTTGGATATCCCGGGAGCTCACCTTGAGGTGGTAACACAGCGCTGACATATCATCTCACCATCTCTTGCCCCCTCACCTCCACGCTGATCCTACTGTGTAGCACCCACATATAACCTATTTCTGTGAATGTTTCATCCTCCACTCAGTTGTTCCAGAAGAAAACCTGGGCTTTATTCTTGGTTTCCCATCTGCCCATCAACCTGTTTTATTTTTTTCCTGTTCCTTGAATATTTCCTTAATTCTTTACTTCTTCCTTTGCAAAATTAGTATCACTGATTTCAGGAAAAGCATCGTGCGTGGCATCTGGAAGACCTTCCCGGTATCAAATGTGAGATGCGGCTACTCTTGAATGTCTGGGGAGTGCTCTGGGTTCCTCCAAAGTGTGAGGATGGGAAGAGGATTTTGAGGAACTGCTGTAGGGAATTTCTCATGTCTCCCTGTTTTCCCTGGGAGAATGTCATGGACAGACCTTGCACTTTCTTACCTTGCATGTGTGAGATCAACACTCATTTAATTGAACTGGGATTTCTTTCTCATCCAGATTATTTTATTTTTCCATATTGAATAATTATTTTTTGGTAGCATAGTTTTACATTTATTAAAGATAGGAAAATAATCAGGCTTTGCAGAGCAAATTCCGCCAAGAAAAAGTAAGAAAAGTATACTCTTAGAAGAGAGAGTGACCTACAGTGAGAAACTGCAGTAGCTCGGAAGGCTGAGGCAGGAGAATTGTTGTAAGTTTGAGACCAGCCTGGGCTACAAAGTGAGCTCAAGGGCAGCCTGAACTGCATAGCAAGACCTGTCTCAAAAAGACAAAAAAAAAAAAAAAAAAAGAAAAGAAAATGCAGTAGCAAAGGGCACAATGTTGACTATTCTTTATTTTAAAGAGAAAAATATAACAATAAAACAGAGTTTCAGAGCAGGTTAATAAGAGAGTTACAATAATTAATATATTACATATTGTCTTTGTAATAGTTATTTAGAGTACAAAATATAGGCATAGTCTTGTGTACAAATAGTATTCGCACTAACCTTACTTTTCAGTGAACTAAGAGAAACTAGCTGTAGAACTGTCTTAACTGTCTTGTGTATAAATATATTGTTTTCTTTTTCCCTCACTTCTTTCCCCCTTTCCCCATCACAGTTTGTCTTTTCTTTTGAACAGTTTCTTCCCAGTTCATAATATCTATCATATATTATGGATCATATTTACTCATTCAGTTTCTCACACTAGTGAGATCATACAATGTTTACACATGTGGGTCTGATTTATTTAACTTATGGCTATAGTCTTGAGTTGTATCCATTTGCCTATGAAAATTTCTAGTGTTTCTCTTCTTTATGGCTGAGTAGTACTCTATTATTAAAAAAACCACATCTCTTTTATCCATTCCTCAACTGATGGGCATCTAGGTTGCTTCTAAGCTTTAGCTATTGCAGATTGTGCTGCTGTAAACATGGGTGCATATATATCGCTGTGGTATGATATTTTAATTCTTCTGGGAAGGTACCCACAAGGGGAATAGCTAGGTTGAATGGAACCTCTAATCCTTGTTTTTAAAGGAATCTACAGACTGATTTCCACAGTCGTTGCACCAGTCTACACTCCCAGCAGCAACAGTGGTGAAGGGTTTGTTTTCCCCCACAGCCCTGCCAGCACTTGTTATCAGCTGATATTTTGATGGCAGCCATTTTCTCTGGGGTGAGATGGAATCTCAGTGTTGTTCTAATTTGCATTTCTCGAATGACCAGGGATGTTAAACATTTTTTCATGTATTTATTTGCCATTTGTATTTGTTCATCTGAGAAGTGTGTATTCATCTCAGATGCCTATTTTTGGATTGGGGTTTTGAATTTGAGAGTCTGTTTTGTTTTCAATTATTTATATGTTCTAGATATAAGTCCTTTGTCTGAGGGACAGCTGGCTATAATTTTTTCCCACTCTGTGAATTATCTCTTCATTCTGTTGATTTCTTTTTTTGTGCAAAAGCTTTTTAATAAGGTGAGATCCCATTTGTTGATTCTGTGTAATATTTCCCTTACAGTATGGGTTTTGTTCATGAAGTCTCTGCATACACCTATGTCTTTAAGTTTTTTACCTACTTTCTCTTCCAGTAAATTTAGTGTTTCCATTTTAATATTTAGATCTTTGATCCACTTTGACTTTAGTGCATGGTGATAGACACGGGTCTAGTTTTAGTCTTTGGCATGAGGAAAGCCAGTTTTTCCAGCACTATTTATTAAAGAGACTGGCTTCCTTCCCCTGCACATGTTTGGCTCCTTTGTCAAAGATAAGGTGACTGAGTGTGTTTGGGTTGTGTCTGGATCTTCTATTCTGTTCCACTGATCCTCAGGCCTATTTGTTTTGCCAGTATCATGCTGATTTTATCACAGTAGCTTTGTAGTATAATTTCAGATTGGGGATTGTGATGTCCCCTGACTTGTCCTTGTTGCCTGGAATTGCTTTTGCTGTTCTAGGTCTCTTCTGGTTCCAAATGAATTTTAGGAATGTTTTCTCTAGATCTGTGAGGTATGCTAATGGGATATTGGTTGGAATTGCATTAAATCTGTATGGCAGTTTGGGGAGTATGGCCATTTTTACTATATTGGTTCTTCCTACCTAAAAGAAGGGATATCTATTTTCTGATATCCCCTTCAATCTCCTTTTTTAGGGGAATGTAATTTTCACTGTACAGATCTTTTGCAACCTGTTTTTAGATTGATTCCTAAGTATTTCATTTTTTACATGCTGTTGTGAGGATATGCTTTCCCTAACTTCTCTCTCTGTGAGTTTGTTGTTTGTGTACAGGAATGCTATTGATTTTTGAGTGTTGACTTTGTATCTCATTATACTATTGAATTTGGATATTAAAATTACAAGTTTTTTGGTGGAGATTTTGGGATCTTCTATGTAGAGTGTCATGTCATCTGCAAATAATGACAATTCAACTTCTTCCTTTCCTATCTTTATTTCTTCTATTTTTTTCTCTTGTCTAATTGCTCTAGCTAATATTTTCAGAACTATATTGAATAGGAGTGTTGATAGTGGACATCCTTGTCTTGTTCCTGATTTTAGAGTGAAAGCTTTCAGTTTTTGACTCTTAATGTGATGTGTTAGATGTTGGTTTGTCATAGATGGCTTTTATAAGACTGAGGTAAAGACCATCTGTTCCAGTTTTCTGTAGGGTTTTTGTCATGAATTGGTGCTGTACTTTGTCAAATGCTTTTTCTTCATCTATTGAGATGATCCTGTGATTTTTGTCTTTGGTTCTGTTAATATGGTGTATTACATTTATTGATTAGCATATGTTGAACCACTCCTATATCCCTGGGATGAATCCTACATAGTAGTGATATATCATCTTCTTGATGATTTGCTGCATTCTGTTTGCCAGTATCTTATTAAGGATTTTTACATCTATGTTCATTAGGGAGATTGGCCCATAGTTTTCTTTTTTGGTTGTATTCTTCTCTGGTTTTGGAATCAGGATAATACTTGCTTCCGGAAATGATTTTGGAGCTATTGCTTCCCTTTCAATTTTTAAAAGAGTTTCAGCATTAGTGGCACAAATTCTTTAAATTTCTTGTAAAATTTAACAAGGAATTTGTCAGGGCTTAGTATTTCTCTCTTGGCAAATTTTTAATTACATTTTCAAATTCATTGGTTGATATCCACTTATTTAGAATTTTTGTGTCTTCTTAATTTAGTTTCAGCAATTAAGTTGTACATAGGGATCTGTCCATTTCTTCTGTGTTTTCCATCTTCTTAGAACATAGCTTCTCATAGTAGGTACTGATGATCTCCTGGATTTCTTGGGATCTGTGTGATTTCCCCTTTTTCATTCCTAATTGCTTGAATTTGTATTTTTTTGTTTCTTCCTTTTGATGAAGATGGTTAATGGTTTACCAATTCTATATATTCTTTCAAAGAACCAACTTTTCAATTCATTGATTCTTTGTATTATTTTCTTAGTCTCTATTGCATTAATTTCGGTACCTATCTTTGTAACTTCCTTCCTTGTATGAGCTTTGCGTGTGATCTGTAGAAGTTTGAGGCTCAACATTAGGGTGTTTATTTGAGTTTATTCTATTTTCCTGATGTGTGAGTTCATCAGTATAAATTTCTCTCAAAGGACTGCTTTCATTATGTCCCATAAGTT